AGCATCCTGACGCTGCCAGAAAGTAGTCCAAGTCAGACCTGTGTTCAAAGACCCCTTCTATGGACTATGAGTCAGTTCAGGAGCACCAGGCTGGCTGTCCCACTTTTCTCAGCAGATATCACACAGACTCTGATATCTGAGCTCACACCGTACAACCTGCCTCTTCACACAGCTGACTTTAAAAGCAATCAGGCCAATCCCGTCCTCTCATGTTTATTAATTGGGTTTGCTCTTTGGACTTGAGCGTGACTCCCCTCTGGCTAAAGACTGATCTCTGGGCTGCAGAGGAGCTGTGTTGAAACCGGGCGCACAGCAGTGTGGTCTCGCACTCTTCACCAGCACTGCAGTCAGGAGAGGCTCATTATCTGATGTGTCATTTTACACAAGCACTGCACAACAAAAAGCAGCCAGATCCTGCAAACACAGTGGCTTTTTCAGCTCTTACACAGTAATAACCTTTTTAAAAAGTTAAATAAAAGCTTGTCTCATTAACAAAAGAGGGTAATCTAATTTCTCATCTGCAGCCTGTGGCTCAGACTGAGCACCACAGCAGTAGCAGCACTGCTATGGAGGACACACCGCAGGGGGGGGAATAACAAAATTTAGCGCTACCAGTCACTCAAAATGCAAGATGTTTTTAGATCCTCTGTAAGGCAGTTGTATAGGTGCTACAAACAGAGAAGATGTGAGGGAGAGGGGACGACAGGAGCTGTGGAGTGTAATCACGTCACAAACATAAACATGTGCCTCAGTCAGCAGAATCACCATATGAAGACAGTGGTTTGAGCTCAGAACAAGAGTTGTTACTGCCCCACACTTAGTGGCTTTGATAGCTGATTGATTTTTTTAAGTCATTTACTCAGTAAAAATGCTCAGAATTTGTTTCATTGAAAAAATAAAACCTTGTGAATTTTAGACGGTTAAACAAACCAATCAGTTTCCAGGCTCATCACTAAGAAATTCACTTAATCTAAAACAGCAAATATGTTTTGAAAGACATACGGTTAAGCTTTTATTAACACAGTGAAGGAATGTTTTAAAGCATTAGCTAAGCTGCAAAATGTTGAAAATGCATTTGTCTCACAGCATCTGACTTCGCAATACAATGTGCAACTACAGCATGACTTTACTGTATGGTGAGGCTCTCAAAATGTGTCACTTAGTTAGAGGTTAAAGGTTTTTCAGACATATCCTCGTATTTATGTGGGTCAGGTCCCAAAATCTGGGTCCTACACTCACCAGTATACAGAGTAGTTGTTGGATGTGACCACTGACTGTATGTGAAAAGATGAATGAACCTTCCATGGTGTCACCCACTAAAGCTCAAATTCACCTCCCACACAGTTGTCATGGAAGGGGAAATTAGCCATAGAGACCAAAACCGGCTTTTGTACCAGGCTGTAAACATGTTTATTTCTGCTGTAAAGTTGGGCATTTTAACATGGCAGTCTGTGGAGACTGACTCTCTTTTTGGAGTCGGTCTCAAGAGGCCGTTTGAGGAACTGTAAGTTTTAACAGCTCTATACTGGTTTCATTTCTCAGAGGTTGCCACTTGGTTGTGACTCATGACCCATGTCTCTCAAATGTCACACCCTAGGTTCTAACAAAGGCTTTATGCTACGCTATTTGTAGTGAAGATTTTTCTTTTAGCAGACTTTTTGTGTATTCACTGAGGATAGCTCAGCTACTGATCATCAGTGAACACCGTCAAAATGTAGGCTGGCTGCTTGTTAAGCCACAATATTTCATTTTCTATTTCTACATCGTTTAAACGCTGAATGTAAAAAGTGTGGGTATGGTGGCTTCAGAGTTGTTGATGGCATCTTTCACAAAGTAAAATAATCATGAATATATATTATTTTTGCTGATGAGGGATTAGTGAAGTACTCTTACATCATCCTTACTGCTGTCCTCTCCCCTCAGTGCTGACTCAGAACTCTGCCATAAAAATCATTCATCCAGTTCCCTCCAGGCTGCTCAATGACATGCAGCATCACATACTAACACATTCCTCATAAATATTTGTCTCCATAATCTACTAAATAAAATTCTCAACATGCACAAACTCAGCTTCTCATTTTAAAAGATTAGAGTAAAGAAGAGCATCCTGCACAGGTTTACAGAGTCTCATTTTGAACTAAATTGACAACATCAGGCCGCTGAGAGTGAGGCAAGCTCAGCACGTGGGGGAAGATGGTGTAATGATTTTGCTAATGTGAATCAAAATGAAATCCAAGAGTCTGTCACACATCAGAATGGATGCTGCAGTTTATCCATTACACCGTATTTCCCTGGTATGCTATAAAGCTAAGGCTCATTAGATGGTATATGAGAGTTTCTGCACAAGAGCCATGCATCATTAAAAAATCCTAATGCCTTACCTATTTCCTGGTATTGATCTTGAAGAAGCCTAACGTTAGAGCTGCCTGTCATCTTACTGCTTAAAAGACAAAGATAGACAGAGCCATTACTTTTTCTATTGTTTGGAGAAGTTGACTTCAAAAGGGCTAAAACCTCTGGTGTAGTCTGAGGCTTGGGAAAGCAGAGTGGAGCAGGATGGAGCTGGAAGGAGAGGGGGCTGCAGGGATAGAGAGCGCACTCAGAGATGGAGATGGGAGATGGAGGGTGGAGAGGTGAAGCCCTTTGATCTCTGGCAGAAGTGAGCACTGAAATAAAGACAGAGAGCGAGAGAGAGCAGCAAAGAAGATTGCAAACAAGGCATGCTCAAATCCCAACAGAAGCATGAACGCGAGAGGAAGAGACAGACAGACAGAGCAAGATAGAAGGAGAGAGAAAAGTCAAGTAGACTGAGCAAGACAGAGATGAAGAGAAAGAACGGTGGGATCAGACAAACAGAAATAGATAGAGAAGAAAAGAATAGAAGAGACAGAGTATGGAAATGAAAGCAAGGGAAATAGATAAGACCAGGATGTTAAAAGGATTTCAGTCCGGGGCTGTTTGGGGAGTTCGCTCAAGCCCTGTACTAAAGCAATTAGCATTGAACCCCTTCTAGGAAAGTGCAGTCTCTAACATAGTTAGTGTGTAACAACCAAGTCAAGCAAACCCCACGATCCCCATTAAACCTCAAGTTTTAATTGGCATGTCAGGTTGGGGCTGCGTTTCACAACCCATGAGCGTGCGCTCGGAAAGTCGGCCCAGTGAGTCTGCACATCTCTCTTCAAGTGGAAACCCAAAGACAGTAAACAGAGCAGCTACATTGCATCGAAACAGCCTGTGTAGTATGATAACAAAACTCAACATTAAATGTGAAAGGGATATTTCACAACAACTGTTGACAGTATGGCTGCACTGTGGAAGAAAGGGTGGGTGCTCTTGTGTTGTCACGAGTTCTTAAATTGCACAACCATCATTTCAAATTTACTTCGAACTGTCTGTTTAAAATGATGTACAAGAGAAGTTACAGCATAATGAATGCTAAAAGTCAGGAACAGTAGCACAAGTAAAGAGGATGAGGAACAGTCAGTCAGCTCTCTCAGTAACAGTAGCAAATTAGCTGCCAGTAGCTGCTGGTCATTCCAGACTCAGTGAGGCTGTAGCAGAGCGTGGTGAACTGAGCATAGACGTTTTGCTACAAAAGAATAAAACCTTTTATTTGTAAGAGAAAGTGTCTTCTTTCAAAAGTCATATAACTGCTATAGTCGACAGTAATTGGAAGGAATTCTCCCCAAAAATCAATTTTTTTTACCTTTAAAGCTTTATTTTTAATTTTTTAAATTACATTTAAATTTCTGTATTTAATGATAAATATAGCATTTATCAGTTAGAAAATTGTGCTAGCGCTAGCTAAGAAGCTATTCTTCATCAATAATCCTGTTAAATGTTGACTTTGAAGAAAGAGTTTGACATTTTGGGACATACGATTTCTTGTCAAGAATTACAGGAAAAGACTTTATGATTGTAGGTTAAACATAAAAACTGCAGCCAGTAGTCAGTTATCTTAGCTTAGCATAAAGACTGAAAATAGGGGGAAAGAGCTAGCCTGTTTTTGACCAAAGGTAGAAATATCCACCGGCCAGCCCCTCTAAATCTTTCTACAGTTTGTGTACTAAAATAAGCTCTTTCATATTCACTGTTCTTTCATCTGAGGTGAACCAGTCTTATCATTTAACTCTCAGAAAAAAGTGTATTCACAAAAATGTCAAACTATTCTTTCAACAGAATTATTAGGCCTTGTCAGTGGTCTTTGCTGTGAGGCTACTTGAATAAAGATTTTGTCAAATACTTGAAAAGTTTAAGAGAACTTTGGAAAACAATGTGGAAAAAAGAGGAAAAGAAAAGGGGCAGCTGTTACTTAAACACAAATCCATTTTGAGTTCAATCAGCAATGACTAAATCATAAAAAATGCTCCATTACGTACTGTACCACTACGTGGCCTGTCGGTATTTTGCCTTTTAAAGCAGCCTCGGTTCATTAAGGCAACAATTCAACAGGGAAATGAAACATAGCTTCTGCTGACTTTTCAGTACCTGCTTCCACCACTGTATCATTTCACTCATTTTCAGCAGTCACCTCCACCTTCTTGCTCTCAGCAGACAGGAGTCAAACCTCAGCACTTCCAGATTTGACAATTTGTACATTTGTCACATCCCTGTTGAACTGAGCAGTTACTTTCAGTTACTTGTTTTAGCTTGAACCAGTCCTACCAGTTAGCCTCCAGTCATTACTGACTTCAGTGGGTCAAAGCCTCAGGAGGTTGCATCTTTCTGGAAAGACACAACTGGAACCAACAACCAAGCCAAGTCATATTAATCCGCATGTCTCTGCCATGCTTACGCTTAGTTGAACAGCAGCTGTACGTCTCATCTCTGCTTCTGTTTTATGTGACTCACTGTCTGGAGGCGGGAGCTGCTGATGTGCAACAAGGATGTGTAGCGAAGAAAGTGTTGATCTGAGGGCTTCAATTACCTGATTAAAATTGTAATTATGATGTTTCTTCTCTGTGCCAGTCTGGTTTGGACAAAGTGTATTCACTGCTTACCTTGGAATATGGCAGCGTTCTGGATGATGAGACGCTTGAGTTGAGAACTGACAGCCTGCAGACCAGACTCCATGTTGCTGCGTGCGGCTACCTGATACCGCTCCTCCATCTTCTTGGAACAGCAGGTCGGGCCTTTGGTTTGGCAAACCTGCAGATCCGCACCTGGCAGGAAATCAACAGAGAAAGGACAGGAGTCTGGATGAGCAGAAGGAAGGAGCCGCAAAGCCACTGTTGTTTAATTTTCAAAAACAGAAGCCTCTTACTGTGCACAGAAAGACTCAGCAGCATCCTCTGCATGCTAAACACAGGAACCCTATCTCCAGCAGATTCCGCAGCCTTAATGAGCATATAATTATTATGTAGGGGCTGTGTTATTTAACAGGGTTGAAGTCAAAAATACATTGCTGCTTAAAAAAAAAGTAATTTAGATGCATGTTCAAGCAATACACCAAAGCGTTGCTGCTCTCCTCAGAGATCAGTTTGGTCAACACAAACCTTCCTACTACTGGAGGCTACACTTTTCATACTGAGAATCAAAAGAAAGTATTTTTTAGGCACAAAGCTGAGAGCTGGGAGCGGTGCAGCATCCAGACAGACAAATCTAGGTTTTGACATGCTTTCACTATTTATGACAAATAAACAGCCGTGAGTAAGATTGAAGGTGATGAAACAACATTTCTGCAACCTGGCCACAGACACTGAAGGCTGTTTACACAGATGAGACATAATTGGATTCCCAGAGCTCCTTTTTAAACGTGCAGATGTAAGCCAGTGAAAGCAAAACTAAGGCGACACAGATGTTTCACTAGGGCGATGTAGCCTCACACAACAAATCAAAGAGCAAACTCCCCAAAGAAATGTATTTAATTTGAAGAGATGAATCCCAGAGAGGTGCGAGATAAAAACTACACGGTTAGAATTTACTGTGATCAAGGAGCTGCTGCAACAGTGATGCACAGTTTTGTGTGAAGATACACTGAAGGATGTCTTCATAAAGAGCCATTCATGACACTACTGTCACTGAAAAACTGTAAGATGTCTAATCTGTTCTAGAACTTTGAAAAGGAGATGATGATGTTGTTCAAACTGATGTGAATTTTACAGTTTCTCCTTCAGAATTCCTCTGTAGTAAAACAAAAGCCCAGTGGAACACAAACTTTCTATACACAAACTGTAAGTTTCCACCTTATTCCCACACTACACCTTTAAAATGAGGCATACATAATCATAAATAGGGCACAACCGTCCCATGTTTAAATACAAAGAGCAGTTCCTGTGAAAATTCCTCTGCTTGGTGCTCCCCACCCCCACCACTCTCTTCATACCATGCGGGTGTTGAAAGCTTCCACATAGGGGGCCGCGGATGTAACGTGCCAAGCTATGTCAAAGTCTGTGGGATCTGATGCCTAAGAGGTGTCAGTGACAAGGGCCTGACTGACGGTCAGGCCCTGAACAAATGTCAGGGAAGACTGCCAGCTTCATCTGCTCGGGGTGTAGAGGATGGAGAAATGGAAGCAGAGAGATTAATTCGGCAGGGGAGGGACAGGCGAAGAGTGTGAATGCATACATATCAGAAAAGTCTTGATAATAAGCATGTCACAAGACAGGCTTTGTCAAGACGAAGGGTTTAACTTTATATGAAAATCTCTGCTGGTCTGAGACTTTGTCTCTGAGATCGTCAAACAATAGATCTTCAGAAACAGAGCTCAGACTGTAACAATGAAAACAGTAAGCATGGAAGGGAGTTCAACTAGCAGGAGGGCAACAGAGTGACAGACTTGATAATTAATAACTACTGCGGAGTCAAAGAGAGAACAGCTCCAGCCAGCTCCCTGCTCACTCCTGACTCCCATCAAGGTTTAAGTTGTAGAGTCTAATGAGTGAAACGGGCAATAAAGCTGTCACACTGCACCTTTTGTATGCATACTGACAGGCTTAATATCTTAAATCAATGCCGACAAAGGACTCCTGACAGATAAGATCAAGTTAATTTCAGGCTGCAGGTACAAATTATTAAGCTGTCAATAGCACCATATGTGAGGTGAGCACAGTCAGGGCAGAAAAGAGAGTGGGATTTAGCAATTATCTCTGTCAAAACAGACAGTTTCATCTGCGCCTTTGTCGTTTTGCAGATGATAAATGTGTTTCATTACAAAAGTACCACAGTGGTGGAGGATTCGGCAGGGAAAAGATTCCACGTAGAGCATCACAAATAATAAAATCACACCATCTAAATAAAGCCTTCTTTCTGACTGACTGATCACTTGGGACTAAGCTTCCTGGTCCTCCTTTTTGCTTCACTTCTTCCTCCTCCCCATGCTTTTTTTTTCCTTGTCACAGTTTTGTTCTAAGCTTGTTTCACTCCGCCTAGCTTGTGCTTAATAGCCACTGGGCATTGAGAGCACCTTTTTTTTTTAATCAGTGCACGATTAGTTAATTAGTCATTTTTCGTGTGATGGCCCATTCTCTCAAACAAAATGAATAAAGACAAGGTGTGAGCTAGGAGCCATTTAGATGTAAATTTCTCCAACACACAAACTCAGTTCAAAGTGATGGTTTTACATACTTTCAATCAATCAACCCTCAAAGGGCAGGCCGGACAATTCAACATGCAGAACATCTGCTGTTTTCATGAATGTCAAGGTCTTTGAATGCCTTTTTAAACATGCATTGATCGCCCTTCGGTTTGTCACTGCCTGATGTGACAATCCTTAGCTGCTCTTCTCATGGCTGAACCCTTCAGCACCAGGGATAAAAACTCCAGCACGGGTTCAAACACCCTCCCCTTACATGTTTATCAGGTCCAGACCAAGGGGACGGTGGCAGCCGCAAACACAATATGTGTCTCTAAGTTTCCCGGCACTAATTAGAAAGCTATCACTATGCAAGTTTAATGATGGAGACCATGAGGGAAAACAAGTTGTTTTAAGATATAGAATATGTTAAAAGCTATTCATTATAAGCATAAATTATACACAAGTACCAGAGTTGAGCGGAAGCACGTGGGAATCCCTGGCTTCCTCTCCAGGGCAAAATAAGGCAGTGTCACTTTGTAGAGACAATAAATGAAATGAAGATAGCGCAATGTACAACCAAGCAAAGGAATAATAAGATCATTAGCTACTGGGGATTGCAATTGTTTTAAGTGTTTTAGTGCTTCGCTCACTGCTCTGTTTTAGGTCGTTTGATGAAGCAATAATTTGAGCACTGGAAGCATGAATGTTGAAGAGCCCAGATTTTATTTTGCAGTCTTTCAAGTGTATGCAAAGCAAAGAGGCAAACAGCGCCTCGTTAAAGAAGGAATTTTCAAAAAGGGGGAAGTGAACAAACAAAACACAAATCAGTGATTCATTAGACAAAAGGACATCTCAGTTCAGGTCAGGCTGATCCACCTACTAGTGGTGTCCGCTGTTGTTCTGTGTTCAGTTTTTCATGATAAATCGGCCTGGACATGACATGACCCTGCAGCCAATTACTGAGAAATCCATATCTCTTAAACCTTTTGCAGCATCCGGTTGTGATATGTCAAGAAGCATGATGCTGTAATTGTTTTCATATTATAGCCAAAGAAGCAGCTTTATTTTATTGTATTGTGTACAACGACATTTTGTTTGGAGCCGAGGGCCCCCATCACGGGCAACTTGGGGCGTTTAGTGTCTTACCCAAAGACACTTTGGCATGTGGACTATGGGCACCGAGATTCGAACCCTCAACATTCCAGTTGGGAGACAACTGCTCTACCCACCTCTCCACTGTTCCAGAAAGAAAGAAAGAAAATCTCCTCTCTTGCAGGAGCACTGTACAGGATCTTCTATTGAAATTAGCAGCAGCTGTCAGCTCAGCCTCCAGAAAACTAGTATTACTCCTTCATTTAGTGCACATCTGATGCTGCTATCATGAACCAGGTCAGCTAAAGCTGTCAGAGATCCATCACATCCCCCGCTCAAACCGCTGCTGGCACCCATCGAGCTGGTTTCACACTCATGTCCTGGGGTAAGTGCACGCTGATGCTACTCATGCACCTCTTCACACATACATAACGACACAATGGAGTGAATTGACTCCACAGCCTCCATTTCACCTTCAGACCTTCCTACCACCCACAGCAGCAGCCACAACAAAGATGTGAGTGGTAGGCTGCCGCTCCTACAGCTGTGTGAGGTTTTGTTTTTTCTTATCTCTGCTGCAGCGTTGTTTCACTGCTCTCACTTCTTTTGAATCATGGTAGTGGAAAGAAAAATGGAAGCTTTTGATGTTTTGTGTGCTGCTCCCGGCTCCACATACAGCATTATTAGAATTCTGTTCTGCTTTCCTGTGGATGTCTCTCTGAATCAGCCACCTCCCCCACACAATACTTCGTATCAATACAGGCTACTTCTCTCTATCACACACTCACGCACGCACACACACATACACACACAGAAAGTGATACTTCCCTCAGTCAAATCAGAGCTAGCCATCTTCGGAGTTTAGTGTCATTAATCTTTCATTCGCTGGATGCCTCAGTGCACAATTCATGTTACATTAGACTACATGACTTCTGTTCTGCATTTACAGTGCATGGGTGGTGCAGTGGTTAGCACTGTTACCTCACAGCAAGAATGCTCCGCGTTTGAGCCCCGGCCGACCTGGGGCCTTTCTGTGTGCAGTTTGCATGTTCTCCCTGTGCCTGTGTGGGTTCTCTCTGGGTACTCCAGCTTCCTCCCACAGTCCAAAGACATGCAGCTTAAGTCGATTAGTGACTCTAAATTGCCCGTGTGAGTGCGTGTGATTGTTTGTCTCTAAGTGCCCTGTGATAAACTGGCGACCTGTCCAGGGTGTACCACGTCTCTCACCCACAGTCAGCTGGGATTGACCCTCATTAGGATACGTGGTATAAATAATGGATGGATGTGAAACAAGCACAAAGCTCAGGACAGTTACAGAGTGACACTTTTGAGATGAGACACCCCCTGCCCCCTCACAAAAAGTATGAAATAAATAAGAAGTGAAAATGCATATTTCATGCATTTGTAACCAAAAACAGGCTCTGTTTAATAACAGTGGATGGAAATTAAAATAATGACAATCCTACCAAGAGCATAAGCATTACACCACAACTTTTTTTTAACAGTACCTAAATATTGTAAAGGATAATTATGCACAATCAGTGTCACAAAGACATGCAGCTTAGGTTGATTGATGTCTCTAAAATTGCCCATAGGAGTGCATGTGGTTGTTTGTCTATGTGTTAGCCCTGCGATGGATTGGCGACCTGTCCAGGGTGTACCCTGATTGCCGGCCGGGATTGGTTCCGGCCCCTCCCGTGACCCCGTTCAGGGATTAAGCAGTAGAAAATGAATGAAAGTTTAATGTGTCACATGTTTTAAAAGGAAGCAGATGTTGGTGCAAGCATGGAAACACAACATTTACTATTTGAATGATGTCTTGTAGCACCACCAAGTTTTCTAGAAAATATATATTTTTTGCACAAATCCAAACACTGTTAAATAAATTAACACTTTGAATTTGTAAAATGTTGTTATATAATATCATATCTAACTATAAACCTGTCATTGACATTTCAGTAAATGTTTTTTACACAGTGTCACTGGGGAGTTTATATTAACCTCTATTCTTTGTTGAAATTGACTTTACCTCCTCATTGCTTATGGTCCCATAGAACCCCCCCCCCCGTGGAGTTTGCATGTTCACCCCGTGGGTTCTATCCGGGTGCTCCAGCTTCCTCCCACAGTACAAAGACATGCAGCTTAGGTTGATTGATGTCTCTAAAATTGCCCATAGGAGTGCATGTTTGTTTTAAGATTTAAAAAAATCTTCCTTTTGACACAAACTGTACTTGTATATTGGATGAATGTGCCAAAATAAACCTTTAAGCATGTTATCAGTCCATATAAGTATATATTCCTATTTGATTTGTTTGGGGGAAGGGGGTCATTAGAAACCAAAGGACTGTAATTTCCTTGACTTCCTAGACTTGTTATGCATTGCTGTAAGAGAAATCGTCATAGACTCGCTTGGGATTTGAGAGAATCAACATCCACTTCTGATATAAAGCATATGACAAGCCTTTGTATGTAATCAGCTTCTGCACCTGGAGTCTCTGGAAACAGAAGTAAAATGGGAATGTGTAAACCCAACTTTGCCTAGCTAAGATAAATTGCCTGACTGGTGAATTGATTTCCTGTATAAGAAATGGTTTAGAGCTGCCTGGTGTGTGTGTGTGTGTGTGTGTGTGTGTGTGTGTGTGTGTGTGTGTGTGTGGTGTCCAGCTTGGACTGACTCCCCAGTGAAGGTTCACAGACAGCCAGGCAGCTCTGTCTCACATCTGGGGAAACTAAATATTTCTCTTGGCTTGCTATACTTTGCCCTTTGGCTGGCAGATAAAATTCTCTGTGGTTTACAGGTGAAGGATGTATGTGTGATTAAAGATGGATGCAGAGGGCTCAGTGGCTGGAGCTGCAGAAACACACACACACACACAGATGGCAGCTTAATATGTGGTAGAAGGAGCATAAGAAAATATCCTTCAAAGTGCTCTCACATCTTTCCTGCTGTTTGAGTTGACGCATTTTGTGATTCGGTACACTCTTCCATGTTCACATAAGATTTAATATTTCCTTTAAATCAGGGCTGTGAGAGTTGCACACTGAGAATGGAGTGAAAACAGTTAACCTGATGCACTTCCCTGTGCTGACATGCCACTAAGACACCCAATTACCATTTGCATCTGGCTGTGATTCAGCCACATGAGAAGCATCTCAATTTACATTCTGAACCAGAATGCATGCAACAGGCTTAGCAGTACACCAGGAGGACGGGGAGTTGTTTCTCTGTCCCCTAAAGACCTGAATTATTTCACCATGAAGGTCTCATCATGTCCTACATTAAACATTTTTCAAGAGAGGCTCCATCCTCATCTGAAGCAGTCTGTGACATTTGAGCTTCAGGGAACAATAATTGCCTTGTTTGGGTGAATGCATCTCTTAGAAAATTGTTTTCAGGGTAGTCGCAATTCATATCACACCGCTAATCTATATTCTATGACAGTGTGGCTGAGGAAAGGCTGCCCAGAGACCAGCCTGAACACGACTTTAAAGCAACTCATCATCATCAAAAGAGCAACAATCCTCAAACTTAGGATAAGATAAAAAAAATGCAAAAATAAAACGGTAAAAGATGCTCATTAGGTGTCAGTAAGGTTTGGATCAAATCGATTCTGTAAATCTGTTTCACAGTTAACTGCTGGCTTATATAATCCAACCTGCATTTTTAACAAGGTACTTAATGTGGGAAATAAATTGTTCTGAGCGGGTTGGTAAATGTGCAGCCACAGGGATGAAGAGCGTGTGTGGGATGGCTCTCAGTGCTGACACTGGAGAGGTCAGCAGCCTTGAAAAAAAGCTCGATGGCGTTAGAGAACTGTTCGTATTGTTCACTGTAACAGTGGAACAGCAGAGCTGAAATTGTATAAATCTATTTTAGCGCACAGAAGTGTAGACAATCGGTAAGGATGCCGTTACCAGATGTGTGCGTAAAGCACGGAGCTCTTTCTACAAGCTTAAGGTTGATGACAGTTACCTGACACTGGGGTTTCGGGGACCCACTTGGATCCAGGGTGCAGAGACTGAAACACTGTGCGCACGTCCTGGCAGTTTGGCACCTGTCCGCCGTGCAGGGCGAACAGCGGGAGGAAGGCGCACAGGAAAAGCGCGCTGTTGACCGGTGAACCAACCATGACAGCCGAGCACCACTTAGAATAGAGCAATAAACAGCTGAGTTCAACTTCAACAGATTAAAAGTTACAGGACGATCCCGTGGTTGCGCTGATGAGGTGAAGCTGCAGCTCCAGGATCTGCTCGGATCAGCATCCTTCCCTTTCTTTCCTCTTCAACAGTCCGTCCGCATGGAAAGCTCCTCGGTTTCACCTACTCCGATCCCGATAACTTAAGAGTCCCTGTTCACTTGCTGCACAGACTCTCAGCTCGTTGCTTAAATGATAAAGACGCTGGATATATGTGCGCGCTCCCTGAAAAGCGCGCGCCCAAAAACATGAACCTGCGCGTATAAAGAGATCTCCACTCTCGCGTAATTGCAGTGATGTAAGGGATACACTGTCCCTGTGTGGCTGCAGGAGTGGAGCTATAAGGGGATTCATGCGGCTGATGTCACACTAGATGAATGGCACTGTGTGTTATCGGGTGTAATTGGGGCAATACCTGTAGAGTTTAGCCGACTATTCACACAACACAGGCGCCGCCTTGAGATGAACATACATTACAAATAAAAGCATAAGTTCTGAAAGTGAGCTTTTATTATCCAAAATACACGGCGAATGTGTGCAGAAAGCAGGCGGGACACTCGGAAAACTACAGGACCAAGATAAAGTCAGTCTCAGTTTCATTCTCTGTAAAAATCTAATTTAATAACATAACCTAACAGCCTTTTTATTATTATTTCCTCTTCTCCTGGACATTTACTTCACTTAGATTCAGCCAACCAAATTGAAATGGTGCCACCTAGTGTTTTATAGCCCATTTGCTCTGCAAACTGACAAATATTCATCAAGTCACCGAAAAACACTTTTATTTTTACAGTTTCTCTAAAACATATCTGGACAAAATGGGACAATATAATAAATGTGTAGCTGTTTACAACATCTGCTGGGTTGCAGATGGATACTGTGCAATTTCTGAGATTGTTTCATGCACTGAAATTGCAGATTCATCCAACTGAAAACAACAAGACAAACGGCGATGGCAAAGAAACATAAAGTTGATGTCTGTTGAATCTATGGCTGCAACACAGGAGAAAAACAACAACCATCCTCTTATGCCTGTGGTGAATGAGATTTTTTAAGTCTTTAAAGTGTTCATCAAAGCTTGCAACAAGGGAAAACAAAGCCCATGTATCTCTTCCTTTTGGCTGCATATCTGAGAAACACAGAGCTTTGCATGGATTTGCACAGCAGGGACTGGCAGAAGCTGAGAGCAAACCAACAAAACTCACTGTAAACCCAGCAGATTTCCACCTTCAAATACCATAAACTCAGTCTGACACAAGGGGGAAGGCGAGCAGCAATACCCGAGTGCACAAACTGCAGTAGATCTGTGTGTACTACCTGCACTGTGAGCACTTTGGAACTGCAAGTTCAGCCGAGGAGTCAGAAAGTCATGATTCAATAGCGACGTCTTGGGGGAAAGATGTGTACAGACGTTATACTGGCTGACAACAATTTATTCACCTACCTGTTTATGCAACACAACATATTCAAATATTGACCCCTCATCTGCACTGTGAAACTATTAGGAACAAATGTTGTACGTTCATCATGCACATAAATACAGTAGCTCGCTGTATGTTAGCACACACTGTGCATGTACAATAAATGTATTCTGGTTTCAGAATTACGTGCCTTGATTTAACCCAGTTACATATTCTCATATGTTGCATAATGAATCCAAAGTCAATCTTCAGTAAGACCATTTCTCAAGGTGAAATACATCTGCTTCTGATTCAGTCCTCTCAAATATGAATGTTGGGCTTTTTCTACTTTTAGTTGCAGAAACAAAAATTAATAAAAAAAAAAAAACAATGCTACCTCAAAATTTAGCAATTTGTTTATAGAGTATTCAATCAACTCATCAATAATGAAAATAATCATTAGATGCAGCCCTACTTCTTGGTTTTCTTGTTCATTTTCCTCATACAACTTCAAATGATGATCTGTTTTAAGATCTTACTGTAAGTTCTGTGTAACAACTCTGTTATCATCAGTTAGGTTTTTGTAATTAAAGCTGCCACACGTTGGATCTACAGTAGCTAAAGGGAACATTTAGAAACTAAAGACATATTCCTGATTAAAACACACAAGCACAACAAAATTTCATCTTATAAGTAAAGCAGTTTGCAGGGTAAATGTAGGGCAAAACATTTCAGGCACTGAATAAGAATGAGCCCTCCATCCAGAAGGAGCAGCTAGGGCAGTAGATACCGAAGTATTTCACTAGCTACACTAGATGCACCTTAGCTGGAGGACCATACGAGGCGTGGGAAGTTGGAGAGGAGTGATGCGCTGGATTCCGTCCAACTCCTCCAAGCATGTGTCTTCCAGTCACAGCCGTCTGAAACACAGCAATTCAAATGATAGTAACAAATGAAGATAAGCATTCCCCCACTTCTACAACTCATCATTCACTGAACACTGTGCAAGCTGCAGCACCGTGATGGTTACGGCCTTGCACCATCGGGGGCCTAATGGAAGGAAAAGGAGGTACAGTAAACCAAAGCAAAGCATCCATTTACAGTTTTTCAAGCATGATGAAGCACAGGGTGTTAAACTATATCATTTAAATAATGTATATCTAACACTTAAGATTCTACACATAGAGTTTTAGTCATGTTAGTGACTGTTTGCCCAGCAGTGATTGGTAACAGGAGGAGGAAAAACAGTCTACAGAGACTTTAAAATGTTTACTGTAGACACACACCATATCATTTGAACTAGCAAGGGTAAAAACAAATGCCCAGTAAGACAGCTATACATTGACCTATGTTCAAAAAAGTGACT